AGAATGCTGGCGCCATGCTGTGGTGCTAAACACACTGAATCGAGCAGGCGGTTTCCATAATACTATGACCTATAAACAATGGCAAGACCTTAAAGAAGAGCGCGAGCTTGAATCGAGCGTACATATCCAAGTTGACGGCAAAGATGTACAGCTCGCCGTAATGCTTTAGTTAAAAGGAAGTGAAATAACAGATTTCTAGAGCTCCATATGCGGATTTATCTTCGCGCCACAGTTCAAGACTTCTTCGGTTAACACGTTGACGACGAGCCATTTTTCCCATGACTTGCGCCTGGGACGGCACATTTTTCTACACTGAAACTTAGTAATTTCCAAATAAATGAATTACTACGACCAAAATGTATCGAGAAATGCAAGAGACGAGTATAGCAATCTCGAATCTTTGACACAATTTAGCTCTTATTGCTCCATCTTCCAAAATCAGGCCATTTTTACCAAATTCTTCCTCTGGAGACAGAATTGACTGAAAATTTGTCTCCCGGGGTGGTTTGATCTCCTAAAGAACAATATCGCATCCCTCGACCCGAAAATGTTTGTTCTTCAACTAATTTTATGAAAAGAAAGTGAAACAATCGCGCAGATTTTGAGTTATATAATAACTGTGGGACAGCATTGGGCGACGCCGTTCCACAAGACAAACTTTCTGTCGTCCACCATTGACGGAAATCGTCGTCAACGCGTTAAGTGGACATGATATTCTTGTTCAGGGGGTCGAACTACCGGTAGGGACAAGTTTTCAGGGAATTTGATGATCTAGGACATTTTGGCGCCGGCGCCTGTGGCGCGGGCGCCAGGAGTTTCGTGGCAAGCGAATGTGATATTCGTGTTCACGGGGTCAAGCTACCCCAGGAGACAAGTTATCACAGTTTTCACAGTTTCGAATTTGGTCGTGTTTATGTAGACATTTCGATCGCATGTGGATGACTATGGCAAAGACTAGGAAGTTGTTGAATAACTCAGACTTGACGAACCCGCTTGTCCTGCTTTTGTAGTCTGATTAACACGTTGACGACGGTGTCGGACAATGGTGGGCGACAGCCAGTCTGTCTCATGGGACGGTGTCGGACAATGCTGTCCGACAGCATACTGCTCTAATAATAAAGACGTGCGAGCAACCAAGTTTGTTCAAAAGATGTCTATAGGAGTAGGCTGAAATTCTGAAACGAACAGCACAGTGGTTTGGCCCGGACTGCCCGGCGCCCGCGCCACAGGCGCCGGCGCCAAAATACCTTAGGTCACCAAAATCGCTGAAAACTTGTCTCGTGGGTTAGCTTGACCCCTGAACACGAATATCACAATCGCTTGCCACAAAACTGCCTGGCGCCCGCGCCAAAATGTCCTAGATCATCAAATTCCCTGAAAACTTGTCCCTACCGGTGAACCGACCCCCTCAACAAAAATATCATGTCCACTTAACGCGTTGACGACGATTTCCGTCAATGGTGGACGACAGAAAGTTTGTCTTGTGGAACGGCGTCGCCCAATGCTGTCCCACAGTTACAGGGCACAGCGTTCGATGGGGATTCCCTATGGGGGGTCGTATTTGGCCGCCAAAAGGGGGGGTCGTATTTGGGCTGGGAAAAATTTATTTTTATAGTTGATTTTTCTCGCTTTGCGGACGTTTTGAGGGGGGGGGTCGTATTTCTGGCTAGGAGTTACGTGGTTCACTTCATGAGTTTTATGAATTTTCTGTGTTATAGGTACTATGTACGCCCGTACGATGTACGTCGCATGCCCCCCCCCCGCTCGACAACTTTTTCGCCGAGTATAAACCACAACCACAGTCAGCCATGTCAGCCATCGTACGAGCATGGGGGGGTCGTACCAGCCCCTGAAAAAAAGGGGGGTCGTAAAAGCTCGAAAATCCCATCGAATGCTGTGCCCTGCACAGTTATTAAATATATAACTCAAGATCTGCGCGATTGCTTCACTTTCTTTTCATAAAATTAGTTCAAGATTGAACATTTTCGGGTCGAGGGATGCGACATTGTTCTTTAGGAGATCAAACCAACCCCGGGAGACAAATTTTCAGTCAATTCTGTCTTTAGAGGGAGAATTTGGTAAAAAAATGGCCTGATTTTGGAAGATTGGAGCAATGAAGAGCTAAATTGTGTCAGAGATTCGAGATTGCTATACTCGTCTCTTGCATTTCTCGATACATTTTGGTCGTAGTAATTCATTTATTTGGAAATTACTAAGTTTCAGTGTAGAAAAATGTGCCGTCCCAGGCGCAAGTCATGGGAAAAATGGCTCGTCGTCAACGTGTTAACTCGTAATCTCGTCACCTCTAAAAATAGGACACATCATAAACTGCGCTGGTGGACCAACCGACCGGGTATCTTGGTACCTTAAAGACACATGCTAGGGTCACACATAGTTAGTGTGTGCGTGACTATCACGGCCCCCCCCCCCCCCCTGTCGAAGCGTAGCGGTTTCCCCGTCCGAACATGCGCAGGAATGGAGATCCAGGACTGTGGGACACGCTAATTCCTCCATGCTCCGCCTAAAATGCAACTTGCGGCGCAGACTCCCGATTCCGTTTATACTGGCATAGCCATCCGGGACGTGTCGCACGCAGCGCTTTTGGCACTTTGCCAAGTTGTGTAATTGCGCTTTGGAATACAATCTAAACGCAAGCTCCTGATGCGAATAACATTTGAGGTGTTGCTCATGCTGCAAAGTCCGAATAGAAGATGATGAAGATGACAAAGGCTAGAAATGAAGAGCAGCGAATGTAGATACAAATAAAGCAGAAGTAAAAAAATCAAGGGAATGATAGTTAAATAAAATCCCGTGTAAATTTTGCAATTCGGCGCGATTCCGGCTCCAAAGCCATAAAAATACTTTGAACTAACGAGTGGGACGCTTAGGCCGTTTTTATTTTCATGTTTTGTGGGAATGCGCGGCCTCCCAGGGAGCACAAGCAGCACACTTGCTCTTGAGTTCTGGCCCTCGTCATCATCTTCGGCTCTTATTTTGCAGCACCTCAAATATTATCCGCATCAGGGAAATTGCGTTTTACTTGTATTTCAAAGCGGAAATAAATAAATACTCGGCTTGGCAAAGGCTCAAGAGCACTGCGTGCGGACGGCTGTTAGTGTAAAGGAAGCAGGTAGTCTGCGCCGCAAGTTGCGTTTTGGGCGGAGCACGGAGGGAATTAGCGTGTCCCATGGTGCTGGATTCTCATTTCTGCGAAAACCGCTACGCTTCGACAGCTGAGGGGCTGATAGCCACGCACACCCAAATACTTGTTGTCCTACCATGTGTCTTGAACACAACAATGAGCCAGTTGCTTGCCAAATTCCTCTCAACCAAACAACACAAGCCAATTCCTTCAGCGCCAGCACAATTCGGATTTCAAAACCGATTCTGTAGTGGAGTTTTGCTATTGCTCCACTTCACACGAACGTTTAGGACGAACAAGCGCTACAGATTTTGTCTGCGATGCTGGATAAGTGTGTTACCGCCATTGACACCTTCGGACTAAATATTTCACAGCATGACTTTTGTTGAGGAATACTTACGCTGCAATATATTCAAATGGTCAGGACGTATTACTTTAAGAGGGGTTCGGCAATTGGTGTGTAAGTAGCACCAGCACTTGCGGCCTGCTTCGCGAGCACAACTGAAGGCCCGAGAACTCTGTATTCGCACTGCGGGTATATCGACGACCTCCATTATACCATCACACAAACAGAGTTTCCGACTACTTAATGTACTATTGTAGTACATAAGAATAACACGAAAAAACTGTCAACGTTGAGTGGTAAAAGCAGAAAAAGCAAAAAAGCAAACGTAGCTGACGTAGCTGTGGAAGTATCCTCACTCATGCGACTAGCTACATTCTGCTGCAATGAGACGTGTAGTTATTTAAGTGGTCGCGACATCAATCAGGGTGTGTGCAGGCGATGAAGAGCGAGCAGATTCAAGATCTATTGTTGCAAAACTGTTAAAGAGCGTGGTTATGCGGTACGAGCACACCGCATAACATCGAGTCCTAGCGTACGACATGCCCCACGCCAAGAGGAATACTTTTGTACCGTCCTTTGATTTCCGATGATCAGCACTGAGATATGCCATGGTAGCGTGAGAGCACAGTTACAGGAAGATGTTATCTTCGTGAATATTCCCAACAGCAAAATTAAACATCATCTTGTTTCAGCAGGCTGTACGACAGGCAGCGCATGACGCAGGCGCTGTTCCCCCACATGCAAGGATGGAAGATTGTGAGAAAAATGGAGTAATTCACCGACATGAATGCAGGGCTTGTAACAGCATACCCAGAAAAGCAGGAGGGGATCTAGCTACGCACCACAAGAAACACCTAGCAGGGAATAGGTGTGGCTTCATAATGGCGTTATAACCACTCCCCCTTGAAAGCATAAGATTGAGGTGCATAAGGAAACGATTTCAATGTGAAGTTACTATATTGAAGTACAAATCTGTATCGTCAATCATCTACGAAAGTGTGAGATCATTTTGGATTTCTGCAACAGCTGAAAGGCGCGTTTGTCAATTATAAATGAGTTCCTGCCGTTTGTATCTTATGTACTGTAATGGACGTGGCTATGACAATTTTGAATCATGTATCACGATGAGACTCAGATGAAACTCTTTCGTCCCTGCTCTACTCTAATCGTACTAACGCATGGGTGAGCTGCGCTCTGCACGGTGGAACCTTCGTTGAGTCGTTCCCAACTACCGGTTTACTCGGAACGTTCAGGACAGGACGCAAGAAACGCTAGAGCAGGGAAAACGTTTGGTGGAAAGCAGGGAATTGAAAGCTTCGCACCATTTTCACGCCTTTGGCGAGGACAGGAAGGTCGGAACATTAAGCCAATCAAAGTTCCCATCTAACGACCTCCTTTGGCCGAAGCAATTGCACCTTCGGCAACAAAGAGTGTACAGTCATTGAAATTGGCCACTTTAACCAGTGATACTTCCTGATTGGTTGGAGTAGTTCAGCAGTTAAGCATGCTTACCGGTATCGTTCTGGGGAATGTACATCGGTCAGAACCTGGTCTATGAGTGCATCTTGCGTTGAATGACCACACCAGCTCTACAAAAGCACTGTGAGATGTCCAATCAAGATCTTACCATTATGAATTACCTTAGCGTATCCAATGAAGAACATTTGCTCGTTGTTATACTTTTCCAGTCCTCTGATCCGCTTCTCTACTTCCGTGTTTTTTCAGAACTTTCTTATATGCCTGATATTCGCAAATTAAAAAAAACCTTGATAAAATGGTCAAAAATGATCATACAACGTTGCATGGCTAGAAAGCTGATTTAGCTTTAGTATATGTTGGGCTCTTTGTTTCCTCCTCATCGTTTCTTATCGGAAATTTCAAAGAAAAGCATCAGGAGGAGGAGGCAGGATTGAGTGTTTTTGGGCAAAGAGTCACCAAACTCACAGCTTAAATTAATAAATATATGAGAGTGCAGTTCGGACATTTCTTATCACAGCAGCGCAACTGATTGCACAGAGGGAGCCCCATCTTGGAGTGACAACTAAGCAACTCCTCTGCGTAGGAGCCGTTTGCATCGCCCATTGCAGAGATGGTGCCGGTCGGCGCCGAAAGAAACAATTCCCGATTCCCTTGACGGAAATGGGTGTTCTGGAGGCATGTGAAAGTCTTTAAATAAACAGGAAGTGATATGCACAGGAGGGTTTCTCGTGTCGCGAGAGTACCTCAACTTGGTACACTTGCGAAAGATCTCGCAAGAGTACCACAACTGGAAAATTGCGAGTTTAGCAGTTCTGGAAAGAAAATGGAGTGTTAGTGAGAAAAAAGAGATCTTCAGAGCTATGGCACTGTTTTTTTTTGTTTACAAATGGTCTCCTATGAAGATAGTTATAACTGTTCAAAGGATGAGGATTTATACACTACCCCATATAATGATTTATAGATTCACGCCATCTTAACGATTCAACGCATCTTAGCAGCGACGTTTCCAAAAATGCCTCCAAGGTGGAATTAGTGGTATTTAACCAGCAGTGCAAATTCGATGCCAACAACAAAAACTAAGTCGAAAGAATAAATTTTTTCTCCATTTTTTGAAAAGCTGTCATGCACTGGCCATTTTTATAGGCAATATATGTTCCGCACCGAAGCAAATCGATCAATCCACAACAATACACAGCGGGAACGGATGAATGTACAACGAAACGGATGAATTATTAATTTAGCAATCTATTGGAGCTCCAATCCTCCGAATAAGTTGGAAATGCGGTTGTCCATGCTCGAATAGAGGTTTTCAATAAGCTTTCTGTCGACATGGTGCCATGCATCAATGATTGACTCCTCAAGCTCACACTGTGGAATCGTGCATTGTTCGCATAGATCTTGCGCACCATAAAGCCCCACACATTCTCGATTGGGTTTAAGTCGGGGCTATGTGCTGGCCAGGGCAAAAGAGCGATTTGATGACGACTGAACCACTCTCGAGTGCTTCGACTGGCATGAATTGGTGCATTATCATGCACGAAAACGAGGTCTTCTTGCCGATTTCTACGCCAGAAACAGGAGGAGACCTCAGCGCATGACGTTTGGGTAATCTTCATTTTCTTCGAAACGAAACACAACTTCAGACGTCCCGTTGATGTGATGGCAGCCCAGGCCATAATACCACCTACTATAAAAATCTGCCTAAAAATGAAGCTCCTCTTGCCAGAAGGAGCGATTTCCGTCTGAAGCTTGATTTTTTCTCATCAGCAAACACGACCTGAAGAAAAAAACTGAAAAGACAAGACAGACAAGCAGTAGGGCACCGCTGCCATAAGCTAACCTTACTCCAATCGGTTCGGCAACTCCTAGCGAAAGTCGATTCGCTTTTCACGATGCAGTTATGTCAGAAATAGTGCCTCCCTCATTTTCCTCCTAAGGATGAACTCGGACTCGTTCAAGACCCGCTGCTTTAAATTCCTTCGAGACGTTAAGCTTCAAAGTTGACTTGATTCCTTGGTACGACATTGGAGAATTTGGTGCGTCCCTACGGCGCTTATTCCGACCGGAGAGCAAAGGAGGACGCTCTTCTTAAGTCCATATCCTGCAGGTTGCTTGACAAAATTGTTGACCACATGATGACTGCGGCCAAATCCCGTGCGGCTTGACGGTTCGACAGTCCCTTAGTCTTCTTTGCGATTATCTGTCCTTTCTCAAAATCCGATAATGAATGTCCGCTTAACATGTCCTAGTAAAGCAAAAGAGTCACAATGAGACAGTTTTACCCAACAAAAATGAGATGCAGCGACAAAACATAGGCGGAACTATCATTTTGTGGAATTTTTTGTGGTTCGTGTCGGAGTACCACTATTCAAAAAATGAACAGAAAAAAATTGTTCTCCCAGGTTAGTTTCCGGTGTTGCTATTCAAACTGGTATTGATTATTACCTCATCTTTTATTTGAGGACATTTTTGAAAACGTCATGTAATACGAGGAATTTTGTAATATTTATGGGTGGAACTATCATTATGTGGAGCAGTGTAGATGACCGTGAAATGTCATAATGGGGTCACGACGGGTTAGGTTCCCTTAAAAGGGAGTCTTTAAAGTTGCTAGATGTCAGGTAGTAAGTGTCAGTACTAATGCTTCATAGCCCTGTTTTGTACTCTCCAGAAGCTCTACTATCAAAGAAATTACAAGTGTTCAAACTGAAGGTGCTCCCGAAATGTTTTCTTAAAGCGTCTTATTGAATCTTCTGGATTGCTATTTTTTTCAAAGATGATATCATTTTCTTTGTCTTCACATTTATACCAGATCACCCTCGCGTCATTGTCTTTGTCGTTCATTTTAGTGGATCTCCTATCTTTTCGATGCTTTTTTTTCTCAACTGCTGATAGATTCATGCCACATCAAGGCACAGGCACTGAATTGTTTGTCTGCCATCAGCCAAACAATTCAGTGCTAGTGCCTTTACGTGGCAGGAATCTACAAGCACTTAACTGCTTACATGGTAGCGGATGAACGATTTTTGCTGACGAAGTATCGTTTATCTCCGACCAGATGAGGAGCTAGTAAGCAATTAGCAATAGATAATGGGCCAAATCGAGACCTTTTTTGGGGCGGGTGTGTATTAGCAGGAATTTTTCACAGGCGTCACGTGCCCTGGGCGCAGCAACGGCAATCGCGCTTGCTCATTGGTAAGGGTATAGTCATCAGCAAAGGCTTACAACAGTCGGTGTTGATTCTATTTTTGTACACATTGGAGCTACATTGTGATCACATAGTAACGAACAAGGGTAGGGGTAAGGCTTAGTTGAATGAATGAGTTAAGTAAGAAAAGACTATCTGAAGATTACTTAATGAAGGCTGCAAGAGTCCTAATTGTTATTTCGCCACTATTACCGTCGACACCTTTCCGGCCACTAAATCTTCGTACGCCACGGAAAGCAAGTGTCTTAGACAAGTGATAAGCAGTAAGCTTTAACATCATCATCAACAAAGGGAGATAAGAAAATATTGCTAATTTGTAAATCTAGAAGTTAGCATCAGAAGAGGTGCAGGTATCTCGTGAATGAGCTTTTCAGGGTTTTCAATATGTCGAGAGCAGTATGCGCGTGAGCAAGATTAGTTCTAGTGGGAAGCTACTCAGGACTGACCCTAAATGCCAGCTTCAATCCTCCATTGTCAGCAATGTTTTCTCCTTGAGTGAGTTTACCATTCAGCTTCAAGGTAGTGCCTGGCACCTGTGAAATTCCACATTGAGAGGATGTTGTCTATGGTTTCAACATTATATTTTTGGAGAACCTCAATCCTCCCATATTGATCGATCATACACTGTACTCGCTCCCCGAACTTTTGCGTAGTGTTCGCGTCCCACCAGTCGCGAAGGTTACCGAACGCGTCAATTGCTTACCTAGAACTCATTAGTATTAGTTAGTATCAAAACTACGCAAGGCTAACTCCAGGATCTACGAGGCTACATTGTTCACAAACTACGCAACGGCTAATATTAAGGAGTATGAGGCTACACTGCTCTTATTTTTCAGGTTTTGGGAGACATCGGAAAAGATTTCCATCAGTATGAAAAATGGAGATTGTGAGGTGTGCCCCCTCCGAGTAATTCAAAGTATAGATACACGCATAACATCATTTGAGGGGCTCGATACATTAAATCAGCGTTCCGAAGGCCGTACGAATATAATAATTGACATCTACTTGGAAGGACCAACGGCAACACCCAACGGGCCGCAGGCTGATCTCAAGTCCACTCCCGTGGAATTCGCGGCCAGGTTCGATGAAAGCAACGGGACAAAAAGTGGTTAATCAATTGCCCAAGAACATTGAGTGTGCCAATGGGAAGCGTGCGACAAAAAACCGGTGTTTAGGTCGGAATCAGAATGACAAAGAGGATACTTCTTTTCGCCACTCACACTGAACACTGAACGGTGAAAGTCAGATCCAATTCACTGCTCGGTCTAAGCGTTCCTATGTTAGTGAAGTAGAACTTGGTCCGATAGTTTGATGTTCAGGAACTTGGCGGGAACGATCTCCACCATGACTCCTGACACTCTGTGCTGGCCACTCCTTCTCCACCATGACTCCTGATACTCTGAACTGGATTGCACACTTTCATTTAACCGTTGACGACTTGATGTTCTTCTGACACAGCATTTACTTGTAGTTGTTTCGTTAATTCTAGGCGAGCAGTGAGCGATCCTTTCGAGTACATGCCAGTGAATTTGACGGTCTTCATAACACTGACTCGATGTACGGAAAATGCAGTAAATGAGAAAACGGGCGATTCCAATGGGATATGACCGGCTAGCACGCATTCAAGAGTAAAATCAATAATGCTGAAGAAACGGACACCAGTACCTCCGTTATCAAATCCGTGTGTGATTTCGTGCCCTATCGTAGCTCCAAGTCCTCCGTAGTTGAGCGCTCTGTAAAATCTTTACATGTTGTTCACTTTAAACGACTATATGTCGAGGATTGGGTCCAGTTTTGAGTCTAAAACCGCTTAAAAGGTTAACTGGTGTTTAAAAGAACATTCACACTCCAAAGGCTCCGGTAGCGTAATGGATAACGCAACCGCCCGGTAAGCGGGAGATGCGGGTTCAAGTCCCGTCCCGGGTCCGACTTTTGCCAATATCTCAGCATTCTTGTGATAACGAAGCGTGCACTGCTTCGTTAAACAGCAGTTATCAAAGCTAAAATATTCACACTGTCACGCTGTGATATCTCTATACATATGGTTCCGATACACATGAGCACAGTCATGACTATTCTAAAAGATAAGGCGTATAAAGCGCGTATTGAAGCGCAGCCACAATGACTTGTTCCATCAATGATGCCGATACATATAACTACGTCAGAGTCATTCCCACAGATTCCGGGCCCGCTACAACTGGCTGCACTCCGAGCCACTTGCCTCCTCCGCCTTATTTCAGTTGTAAGAATCAAGACTGTAGCTCGCGCATTAGTTTTTTTTTCATAGGGTAAGTCTATTCAAAGTTTACCTTGGAAAAGAATGGTGATAGAAGGGCGTTTGGAGATAAGCAGCAGGGAATTCTGGAACGCAAAAGCATAAGAGGACCAGCCTCTGAAACCGCAAGTACAGTTGAGTATTGGCAACATTGACTGCTTACTTATCGAGTTCGAGGTGGAGTCGTAGTAGGCGTTGACAACTGCAGCATTGAAATCGTACTCAGTTCGATCGACGGGCTTAGAAAGGCGCTTCAAATCGTATTCTATATTCCATCGTGACAGTTTCTCTACCATCTGGCTGTACGAATCCGAATTCTTCTAAGCAGAACTGGAAGTAATTTGTGCAGCATCAGAAAAAAATGTTCGGTAGCAATCCATAAGCAATTCCAACCACATTATGGAAGTTTGTTTTAGATGCTTATATATTCATCCGTCAAAAGCCTCTACATATTTTGTTGTGTCGACCATAGTCACTAACGTTATCATAGTAGTTGTCCAATTTTCTGCTGTTGAGGATGAACTCTGGATACGCGACTTTAATCAACATCTTTTGCAATTTCCCAGAAGCAGCCTGGAACAGAATGCCTAAAAGGTCTCCCAGTAATATTAGCTGTCTTTACAAATTTCCAATGCGAAAGTAGTCAATAAACCTACTGTGTGACTTGCTTTACCGAATGTACAAAACAGATTGCATCAGCTTTTCTTCGTGGGTTTTCTCCGACGCATTCTTTAGTGTTGAGGATATCTTCAATTGAAATTGGGGCGACCTCCACATATTTTAGCACGGGTACAAGGGAGCATGACCATGCAGTTCATCTTGTATTACAAACGTGCGTGTGTCTATGTTATGAGAAGGATCCGCGTGGTTTTGTAATCTCATAGCTAGAGCTCAAAGAAAGAAAACAAACGGTTCGTCGTGACGGAAAGATACACAGAAAAAAAAGGTAGTACTTGCTGTTCCTTTGTTGAGGATCCAGTGGTGGAAGGTCTGGCGTCGATATATCGCTGTATTGCTGATCCAATCAAGCAGCAATGTACCAGGTCTTCTGACTGACCTGTCACGTGGACACACAGTATGGTCCTTGCCTATGCACGCTGATGAATGTTCCAGTGGCAAGGCTACTGTGCATTTGTGGAGAATAGAAGCTCTGATTAGGTCTCAATTCAAATCTACAATTTTTCCTTAGAACTTCGCAGTTATTGCGACCACATAGCTGATAGAAAAAAGAAATAACCCTTCCGAGCAACTGCCTCTGCCTTTCGCTAGATCCTGTATTAGCAAAGTTATGGTCTTTGAAAGTCAAAGACTTGCGTTGAAGAGTACTCCGTAATATTTTTGTTTCGGATTAAGATTGCCCACGACGGTCAATAAGAGAATTTTGTGAACTATCAGAAAAAGGAATCTCCTCCTTTCCAGAGTCGTTTTTTCTTTTGTCC